GTGCTGAGTAACCTGGCGATTGGGGGCTGATGAAGCTTGTGAACATAATAATAACATGAGACAAATGACATAGCACGAACCAATATCAGCGTGCTTTCTTCTGGCGATGGTGTATTTTACACAAATAGCGATGCATGAGGCCAGGATTGGCGGTAAGGGTGTGTCTCGTGTTTTTAACTGGATACCAGTCAACCAGTAGGCGTGGGACCAGGTTGAGAGAGGGGTTGGGTAAATTTATCAGAGTCTTATCTTAGAGTCTTATCAGAAACAACAACAGGAACAACAGGAACAACAGGCACAAAAAGAGTGATGGAAACCGATATGGTGGTCAGCGACTAGTTTAGCTGGAAGCTTCTACGTCAGCTGAACAATAACGTAATTTGGGAGAGAATATGCGGGTAGGGGTAGGGGTTACTAGTCTCCGGATCACTGTCGTCAGCTTCAGCTAACAGGTGGTGCATGGTGTAAACGCCCATAGACGCTAACTCCAAGTGTCACAAGTGAAAGGTTAGCAGTTTTATTATATTGTCATTTCATTTTTATGCGAGTGTTCCCAGGGACAGTAGAAGGGACCCCGTGTGTTATGCTCTGACCTGGTGCGGTGCAACCACGACAAAGACGAAAACGGATAAAACTTTGCACGTTGATCTTTGCCGTGGACGTTGCAGGGTATCTTCTGGCTAACACACATTTTTAACGAACGAAGGGGCAGCCTTCTTTGAACTTTATTCCCTAGCGCTGCTTTGATAAATTGCAACCGGGACAAATCCAACACAGCAGGTACAAACAGAATAATACGCTACCCCTCCATGGATTTTATTACTTAAAAGCCAGCCTAAGAGCCGCTTGAAACGGGTGAAGCGCTCGTGTTAGTGAATGGATGACTGGCATACGAACGCAGCGTGGTGCAAGACAGTAGAAGGACACTCCCCGCGGGGTTTCCATCACCTAGGAACTGTTATTCTCCGAAGGCAGGTGTTCAGGACAATTTCCGTGGATGTAAAACAGAGACAAAGCTCATGGGCCGAAGCCCAATAAGCAAAGTTGTACGTCACCAATACTTACATATAAACCAATCAAACGGACAGACACCGTACACTACAGTGCTCTCTGTGGCGCGGGCCAATTCCGAATCGGTTCAAGGCCATCGTATCGTTGCACCGGTTAACAGTTTCAGTTCACAGATTTTAAACTTTGTTTCTAGCATTCCCTAGTATCACGACCTTACTCAAGAGTCCATATGTCCAAGCTTTAAGTCATACTACCCCGACACAACTGGTGTTCTCCCGTCCACCATGTCCGATGTGTTAAATCGTGGCAGGTTTGTGTTGTCCATTTGTGTTGGACCGTGTAAATTTTTTATAACTAACCGCATTCATGGGGGTCCGCAGCTGGCATCGTTAGCCTCTCTATACTGATCGTACTGTTGATCGCTAGACGGTATGCTACCCACCAGTCAAGAAGAAGCATTCTCTCTAGAATCAACTTCAGCATTAGATGGTCTCTGATCTGGCTCCATCTTTGATGCAATTTCAGTCGAGAATTCTGTAAGTTTGGAAGCCACTTTTATCTGTTGGTTCTAATTCTTCCCGTCGCAGTTTGGTTGGTATATTCAAGGAAATTCCGGATGTGAGCCCCTCGAAATAACTCGAAGACCACGCAAGTAATACGAAGGGAAATGCACGGAACCATCCGAGTTTCGACGAAAGTATCTTGAACCAATTTTTAGTGAAATGATGGGAAGGCATTTTTGAAGGATTTGGTGTGACTGGACCACTTAGTACCTGGTCCTGAACCACATTCTTGTCCGTGCAAGACGGAGAATTTGCGGGGGCTGCTTCAAACGGCACGTGGGCAAATTTTCGGTCATTCGGGGATAAGCACCTGGGCAGTCACTACTGCAGTACGGGGTAGGCATCAGTTTGTAATTTGGTGGTATGGGAACTCTATTATTTCAGGCCACTCGCAAAAGGTAGGCCTGGGCGTGAAAACGCATCGAGGAGGCAGCTGGAGTAGATCAGACAAAGGAGTAATCCCAGGACCCTGAGGAACTCCGACATTCACCCTAAGCGTTTTACCTGAAAGGAAAGCGCTCATCCGACGTAGAATGTCCCCTTGAAACTACGGGCTCCAGTGCAGCTTACGAGAAGCGGTGCAGTGGAATGCACGGAACACTATCCGATGCTTTTGAGCTCTTGAAAATGTGCAATATGAGTTATTCCGTTGCTTCCTTCATCAAAATGAGCGTAGTGGACAAGCATGAACTGTCTGGGGGAATGCGTGTTGCGTCGGGGAGAGGCTAAGATGAGTTAGAATGGCCTGCTTCAGAATGCGTTTCATCAACCTGCATGGTATACCAGGCTTGTGGATGAGGGTGGTAGGCGGCCACAAATTTTGCGAATGGATCTTGGGCTGTGGAAGAGCTTTCAGCTTTCGAAAAGCTTTCAGAGCTTTCCTGTACGAAAGTATACCGCGATATCTGGAATACCGTACCAAATGAAACATGAAGAAGCCAGGTACAGAACGGTCGGTTGAAGAATATCCTTAACGAGAAATTCAGTAGTCTCCCATGGAAACCCATTTGGTATGCAAGTGGGTGCATTTGTCGAGATCTGTCTAATTTCGGCCCAGGTAGAGCGCAAGGTTGACGGGAACTCGGGTTTGTACCTACCTAGTGCTCATCAAGGGGGGCAAAACCGGTCGCAGGCTGCCGAAGATTTTTCAGCAACCTCGTGACTAGCTTCTCTTGTGTAAATTAATTTTGGTTTTATTGTTGGCATCTGATAAATTTGGGGGTATTCAAGTGAGCAATTATGAACTCTCGTAAAACCATTTCCTGTGGGAAACTATTCCGGGACTCCAACCCCCGGACAGATAATTATTTCAGCTCAGTTTTCGGAATAAACGCAGGAGGAACATCATTGAGGATTTAGCATCCACTGCCAGTCACTCCACCGGAACACCTACGGGGGCATCCGACACCGTATTCGGTAGGCCGTAGTTCACTGACCACACAGGCAAACCATTTACACTTGGTATTTCGTCAGTCGCTTGGCGAAGGCCGCCTTCCCCCTGCTTGGAAGGAAGCGATTGTCACGCCAATCTACAAAACTGGTGACCAACTATCGCCTGGCAGCCATAGGCCTATAAGCCTCACTAGCGTGCCATGCAAGGTGACGGAACGCATTCTGGAGCGAGCCATCTTAGATCACC